GGGGCTGGGGTTGGGACACACTGCAAAGGGGGCCCCAGAAGAGCCATGCTGCAGGCAAAGCCCTGATCATGGGTGATTTTTAAAACCACAAGGAGATCGTTTGGGAAAAAACTTGGCCCCAATGGGGGCCAAGATACTGGAGGGCAAGTTTTGGGGAGGTGGTAAGGAGAACTTCATGTCCAACCGTAAGGGACACCCAAGAAAAGAGGGGAAGGATAAACCAGAAAAGGCTGGTTTAGTATTAAACCCTTTTAGTATGCAGATATCGGGGGACACACAATGAAAGCCCCCCCTTGGGCCATGACCATGTGGTTTTAAGCTTCGAAAACACAGTAGAGCTACAAGTGGAGGAGAAGCAGGAAAGGGCCGGGGATGAAAAACCAAAACACAAGAAGGGGAAAACACGGGAATGAGGAACTACCTAAAGGGGGTTCAGGGACAAGAACTGGCGGGGGCCTTAATGAGAGATGGAATATGAGCAAAAAAATGCAAGGGGGCTGAGGAGGTTTGTACTAAAAGGGAACAGGAATAATGAAAAACCCAGGATGACCCATGGTTTACCCAAAGTCAGGGGGAAAAAACCCAAAGGGTTGCTAGGGAAGGGAAAATATAGAAGGAAAAGGACCCGGGAATAAGGAGAACAGTCGTAAGCCAAAAACGAATATGCCAATAAAAGGGGAGGCCCAAAGACAATATAAAAAAGACATACAGCGAAACCCAAATCGCCCAAACTGTTGTACACCCAAAACAGGGGGAAAACAACAGTCAAGGCCCGGAATCAGGCAAGGGAAAGGGAAGGGGAGAGACAAAAAGAAATGACCAGAAGTATGTGAAGAACTCAACAAGAGTTTAAAAGAAGTTTTTCCAGGGGAGACAAAGGGACCCAAAAGAGGAGAGGTGGCACACCCCCAAGTGTTTGGACCAGTGCACACAACCGAAAAATAAGGTTCTGATGAACTAGATACCCAAAGGCAATGGGCCAGAAACTCCCCCAGGGTTTGAGAAGGGACGGGGGCCTATGTGACCCCAACAACAATTTTCAATACAAACGAAACAGGGGATTGCCTAGGCAGGGAAACAGCAAATGTACCCCCAACTTTAAAAAAAGGGAAACAGACATAAGCATTAAACACAGACCTTTGTCCTGACTTTAGTAAAAGCAAAATCAGGAGAAGATTATCAGGGAAAGTGGGGGGAACACCTAAAAGAAATCTCATCAAAAGCAGCCAACATGGTTTTTAGGGATGGAAATCCTTTTTCACAAACCTACTGGGGTTCTGACATGGTGACAGCAGAAGACAGAGAGAGAGGGGGGGGTATTTCATTTTTTTTGCCAAAAGGGATTTGACACGTTTTCCAACAATGATTGGGCAAAAAAATGGAGGGCCAAGCAGGGGGAAAAAGGAAGGCACTACAAGGGTCAGGGGGAAAACTTTTCAGAAGACAGCAGGAGCATGGGCTGGCGAGGTGTCAGAGTGGGCCCTGTAACCACGGGGGCCCGCAGGGGGCGTCCTAAGACCATGCTGTTTCTGGGATTTGTGAACGACGAACGGAAGGGAAAGACCGAGGGGCCCCGTTTGCAGATGACGTGAAGTTGATGAGAAAAAATAAAACCAAACGAAACCAGCAGAACTATAAGGATCTGGGCAGGGTGCAGACCTGTCCAGCAATGGGTCCGAGTTCCAATCCCCCCAAGTGCATAAGTACATGATGAGTGGGGAAGGCAAAGAAGGCCGCAGACGGAGTACAGTCTAGGGGTCAGAGACTACAAACCACACTCAAGGCACAAAGATCTTGGGGGAGTAATAACCACCAGGCACATCTCCTAAGCGCACTTCAACCAATTTAACTGCTGCAGCATAGTGCCTACAAACCCAGAACGCATTTCCGACATCTTAATAAGGAATCATCAGGACCTGACAACCGTTTACGGTTGGCCCATATTGGAGTATGCGGCACCAGTTTGGAACCCACACCTAGCCAGCACGAAGAACGAGAGAAAGTGCAAAGGTTTGCAACAAGACTAGTCCCAGAGCTAAGGATGTAATGTCCTACGAGGAGAGTTAAGGGAAATCAACCTGACGACACTGGAGGACAGGAGAGATAGGGGGACATGATAACGACATACCAAAATACAGAGAGAATTGACAAGGTGGACAAAGACAGATTT